ATCCACTTCCTGGACACTACAGTGCTAATAAACAATGGCCACATAAACACCACCCTATACCGGAAACCTACTGACCGCTATTCCTACCTGCATGCCTCCAGCTTTCACCCTGACCACACCACACGATCCATCGTCTATAGCCAAGCTCTGCGATACAACCGCATTTGCTCCAACCCCTCAGACAGAGACAAACACCTACAAGATCTCTGTCAAGCTTTCTTACAACTACAATACCCACCTGCAGAAGTAAAGAAACAGATTGATAGAGCCAGAAGAGTTCCCAGAAGTTACCTACTACAGGACAGGCCTAACAAAGAAAATAACAGAACGCCACTAGCGGTCACCTTCAGCCCCCAACTAAAACCCCTCCAACGCATTATTAAGGATCTACAACCTATCCTAAAGGATGACCCAACACTCTCACAAGTCTTGGGAGACAGGCCAGTCCTTGCCTACAGACAGCCCCGCAACCTGAAGCAAATACTCACCAACAACCACATACCACACAACAGAACCACTAACCCAGGAACTTATCCTTGCAACAAAGCCCGTTGCCAATTGTGCCCACATATCTATTCAGGGGACACCATCACAGGGCCTAATAACATCAGCCACACTATCAGAGGCTCGTTCACCTGCACATCCACCAATGTGATATATGCCATCATGTGCCAGCAATGCCCCTCTGCCATGTACATTGGTCAAACTGGACAGTCTCTACGTAAAAGAATAAATGGACACAAATCAGATGTCAAGAATTATAACATTCATAAACCAGTCGGAGAACACTTCAATCTCTCTGGTCACGCAATCACAGACATGAAGGTCGCTATCTTAAAACAAAAAAACTTCAAATCCAGACTCCAGCGAGAAACTGCTGAATTGGAATTCATTTGCAAATTGGATACTATTAATTTAGGCTTAAATAGAGACTGGGAGTGGCTAAGTCATTATGCAAGGTAGCCTGTTTCCTCTTGTTTTTTCCTACCCCCCCCCCCCAGATGTTCTGGTTTAACTTGGATTTAAACTTGGAGAGTGGTCAGTTTAGATAAGCTATTACCAGCAGGAGAGTGAGTTTGTGTGTATGGGGGTGGGGGGGATGTGAGAAAACCTGGATTTATGCAGGAAATAGCCCGACTTGATTATGTAAAGAGTTGTCACTTTGGATGGGCTAGCACCAGCAGGAAAGTGAATTTGTGTGGGGGGGTGGAGGGTGAGAAAACCTGGATTTCTGCTGGAAATGGCCCACCTGTTGATCACTTTAGATAAGCTATTACCAGCAGGACAGTGGGGTGGGAGGAGGTATTGTTTCATATTCTCTGTGTATATATAAAGTCTGCTGCAGTTTCCACGGTATGCATCTGATGAAGTGAGCTGTAGCTCACGAAAGCTCATGCTCAAATAAATTGGTTAGTCTCTAAGGTGCCACAAGTACTCCTTTTCTTTTTGCGAATACAGACTAACACGGCTGTTCCTCTGAAACCTGTCATAAGACAGGATACTGGGCTAGATGGACCATTGGTCTGACCCAGTATGGCTGTTCTTAGTTTCTTGGGAGGGAATTGAACCCCAGTCTCAGTACCCTAACCACCAGGCTACAGGTTATAAGGTAGGTCACTGCTGCCTCCATGGTATTTCTTGCAAAAAAAAACAAAAACCCAACAACTTAGGTGTCTAACTCTTGGACAGGGTTCACAACTGAGAATCCCAAGCAGAGATAGATTCTTCCCCCAGGACTTGACTATTGGCTAGTTTAGGTGGCTCCCCACCAGTGTGCTGACTTCTGTGTATCCCATTCTTAGATACTTAAGTGCTGCCAAGAGCGTTCACATTGGAGCACTCTGGCACAGCTCCCGGAGGCCAATAACATTGATTATGCTGCACTACCCCAAATTCGACCCAGCAAGGTCAATTTTAGCACTACTCCCCTCACCGGGGAGGAGTTCAGAAGTCGATTTTAAGAGCCCTTTAGCTCGACGAAACGGGGTTGCTTGTGCAGCCGCATTCATTATAAAATCAACCTAACGCGGCTAAGTTTGACCTAACCCTGTAGTGTAGACCAGGGTTAGTTCTTTTTTGAACCAAGTTATAGTCTTGGCCTTCACAACATCCTCTGGCAACGAGTTCCACAGGTTGACTGTGCATTATGTGCAGAAGTACTTCCTTTTGCCTGTTTTAAACCTGCTGCCTATTAATTTCATTGGGTGACTCCTGGTTCTTGTGTTACGTAAAGGAGTAAATAATACTTTCTTATTCACTTTCTTTACTGAAAGTGACCTCTGACCTCTACACCAGTCATGATTTTATAGATCTCTATCATATCCGCCCTTAGTCATCTCTTTTCCAAGCTGAACAGTCCCAGGCTTTGTAATCTCTCCTCATACGGAAGCTGTTCCATACACTTCATCATTTTTGTTGCCCTTCTCTGTAACTTTTCCAATTCTAAAATATCTTTTTTGAGATGGGGTAACCAGAACTGCCCACAGTATTCAAAGTGTGGGAATACCATGGATTTATATAGACGCATTATGATATTTACTGTCTTATTATCTATCCGTTTCCTAATGGTTCCTAACATTCTGTTTGCTTTTTTGACTGCCACTGCCTGATGTAGAGAAGGGATTTAAATTTGAGTTTCTCACCTCTTAAGAGAGTGCCATTATCACTGGACTATGAGATGTTCAGTTGTAGGTCTCTCTCAATCTCTCCTGTTGAAGTTGTTCAACTCTGTATAAATAATTAAAATCGCAGTGGGCTAGAGAGAATGACTCTTTAGTCCAGTGGTTAGGGCACTCACTTAAGAGGTGAAAGACCCAAATTTCTTCTCTACATCAAGCAGAAGGGGGAATTGAATCCAGGTTTCCCCCAGCCTGGCAGAATATCTCCTAGCCACTGGGCTAAAGGTTATAAGGGAAGCCACCTCTTCCTCCTCTCCACTCTGGCCATTGAGTGTGGAATTAGATGTGCTCTGAGAACATCGCCCACCTTGAGCCCTGCAGACAACAGGCATGACAATGCCTAGTTTGAAGATCCCATTGGGCTTAGGTGTGAGATATGTGTCTATCTCATAAGGCTGTGTGCATGTTCACGGACAGTAACTCAGGCACCTAGGGTGCCTCCAGGCTTAGCTGGCAGTTGAGCAGGGCTTCTGCGGATCTCAGTGGTGCCTAAAAGGACTTAGGTGCGTACGTCCAACTTTTATGGATCTGGGCCATAGCGTACAGAGCAGCAGAAGAGCCAATCCAATGCTCAACAACATGAGGGAGAGAGCCCACTTTTGTGAGGCATACAAGGATTAGAAGTTTCCTATTCCCTCTTCTCCCTTTAACGCATCCATGCAGCAGAGGGGCGGGTTCTAGCTTACAGTGTGGTGGAGACATTCATTCTCATGTAACATTTAAAAATTTAACATAGGTACACAGCAGATTTTTCTACTGTTTACATCCAGTGAGATATAATTAACAGTGCTAGACAGACCCTATGTAAATATATGTTCTTATTTTACTTACATAGTTGGCTAGAAAGCTAAATTGAGGCCTTGTTTGAACAATACCTTACTGCTGATATGTGTGCAGTTTTATCTGTAGGATTCAGACAAGCAAAGTGGAACTCCTAGTATGCACACCGGTGTACCAATACATGTAGCATGTAGAGTTTTGAGCTATGAGGCTATGTCTACACTGCACACCTTACAACGGCACGGCTGTGCCACTGCACCATTGTAAGGTCTGTTGTGTAGCCGCTCTTTGTCACCGGGAGAGAGCTCTCCCCTCAACAAAATAAAACCACCTCCAACAAGGGGCGGTAGCTTTATTGCCAGGAGTAGAGCTCCCACCAATGAAGCACCGTCCACACTGGTACTTTTCATCCTTAAAACTTCTGTCATTCAGGGGGTGTTTTTTCACACCCCTGAGTGACAAACGTTTTAACGATGAACGTGCCAGTGTAGATAAAGCCTAAGACTAAACAGTCTGAGTTACACTGGTATCATTTTAAAAAATAAAAAAATACCCCTTACTTTATTTGGCACAATGGTCTTGGACTCTCACTGACTGTTTGGCCAGCAGGCTCTCTGGTTAGAAAGCAGTCCTGAATTAAAGAATATGGGTAATGCAATCTTGCTCAGGCCAGCCATGCAACCATTAGAACCAGTGTCCACCAAAGGATACATGAAACTATAAAACATTCTAGAAAACCTACACTTTGTCTTCCACCAGCGCCACTGTGCTGAAATAAGAGGGTATTCTCTTGAAGTCTTGCTACCTGCTGGAAGGAGAACAGCAACACCGGTAGCATGAACATACTCAGTGCATCCTTCTTTAAATGTATATCTTTAGTGGGCCAATTTCTACTTTCAATTACTCCATATTGATAGTGGGGTAACACCATCAATTTCAATAGAATTATTTCAGGTTTAAACTTTAAGTGAGAGCAAACTTTGACCCAGTAACTTTTAGAATACTGAATCTTGGACTAGTTATGTAAAATACACGATTGATTGGGACTACATTTAAAATCAATGAACACTTAGGGGAGCTTTTTCTATTTTAAGAGATTGGTACTTAAAAAAAAAAGCAGCCAACTCCTAATTCAACTTTTAAAAGTGACAGTAACTTTTATTACTCTTTCCATTGAAGGGCAATTTCAATTATGTTTGCTATGAAAGTGTGATTAATTAATCTGAGACATTACTGATTTAAAACAAAAAAATCAAGCCATTATTAGAAGTCAAAAAACCACAATGTTAATGAACATTAATAATTATGTTTCAGCCAAAGCAAGTCAAGAAATTAGAAATGATACTTCTTCATATAGCAAATTTGATATGGCTCCATTCTATTAGAAATGCTGAGATTAAACTGGAACACCAGAACCTTTGAATTATTGGGAAATTGGGATCTGGATCAGAACTTTCTGGCTCAGGCCCATCTCTAGCAGATGTAGATGAATCACATTCAGTGGTTAGTATGGTGCTTTTTTGTCAGTCATCTCCTACTTACCCTGGGGCAACCCAGCTCCAACAGAAGAACCAAAACAGTAACATTATGGAATGAAGAGGCCAACTTTTTGCTTATGCAGCCATTTCTTTGTGACCAAAACGGCTGTCCAAAAGTGACCATTTCTCTCCTTTCTCCAGTGCAAGAGTAACCTCTGCATTTAGTAACTCATCAGGAATCAAGTGAATAATCTAAAGTGAAGATGAATAAAATGAAGATATTGAGGGTGAACCTCAAAAAGTTGGCTCAGTATAGAGAGCATTCAAGAATATGGCTGGTTAAACAAATTACTTCAGACTGCAAAGCTGGGCTGGAAGTCACCTAAGTACAGGTCTTTGAGAGATAACTAGTACTTCCCATTTCTGGACAGGTAGTCAATATTGTGAAGATAACTGCTCCCAGTACGCTTGTCAGATCTCCGGATGTGGTTCCAGCAAGAACTATGGAGTGAAGCAGTAACAAACCCATCCCCCCCCAAATCTTTGCTGTTCAAAACAGTTGGCTTTCATTTTGGGGAAATGATCAGGTAGGTTCTTGCTTTGGATAATGGTATGAACATATATACTTCAACTACACTTTAATTACGCAGGTTCATTCTGTTGCGTGCCCACCACCAAAAGCAAAAGACAAACAAATAATAATAAAAAAAGAGAATCCCTGAGAGCTGGTCAAAAGTTTTCAGACCAAACATTGTTTCCCCCTGTCAGCAAACACCACTTTGTCAAAAGTCAAAACTTTCTGCAGCACTGTCAATACAATTTTGTTTCAAAAATCAAATCAATGAAATTTCAATAGTCACAAAATATTTATTTTCAGCATTTTCAGAACACTATTTAGATTTTTCATTTTCAAACTCACTTTTTGTTTTGAAATATATTTTGTTTTACATTAAACAATTTTTAACTGTAAGTCAAAATCAAACCAAAATATTTCTGTTGACTTAAAATTCTAAATTTTTGACTTGTGGGAAATCTCAAGATTTAATTTCAGTCTAAATCCAAATGGAAACAAAGTTTGAAATGGGAAGATCGCACAAAAACATAAATCCCAATTCCTTCACAGGTCTAATTATCCTGGCAAAGTATCATGACATTGAGATTTTCTCCTTGCCACCTGTACTATCCCTCCTCCCCAGCTACCCAGTTAGTCACTGTCTCCTGCACTCAGAAGCCTCCTTTGTCAGTTTCCCTGTTCCAGTAGAATGTAGCTGTCAGGAAGATCATTGTTCCAGAAGGAGATGTGATCTCAGGTAGGTTGGGCCCATCACAGGAGGATTTTGAATATCAGGACTGAGATCTTTAAGGTGCTGGAGTGACAGTCCTGCAGACTGAAGTCCTCTTCAGGGAACAGATACAGCACAAGCAGCAGGAGTACTACCACCCCTCTTTGTTCCCCAGCTGCCCACTAGTGTCTCAATCCTGATCTGGAGGGACTACCATTAGATTCAGGAAGGTAGTTCACTCTTCCTATCTTTTTAGTCCTTGACTTACTGATGACAAGGATGACATTAATGATGATAAAAATGAGGACTCCTTGTGGCACCTTAGAGACTAACAAATTTATTTGGGCATAAGCTTTCATGGGCTAGAACCCACTTCATCAGATGCATGGAGTGGAAAATACAGTAGCAAATATTTATACATAGTACATGAAAAGATGGGAGTTGCCTGGGGGGGGGGGGTCAGTTTAATGAGACAATTCAAAATATACCTGCTACTGTATTTTCCACTCCATGCATCTGATGAAGTGGGTTCTAGCCCATGAAAGCTTATGCCCAAACAATAAGGTGCCACAGGGACTCGTTTTTGCTGATACAGACTAACAGGGCTACCACTCTGAAACCTGTCATGATTTTTGAGAGGCAGAAACGTTCACAGGGAGCTGATTTGACAACATCCAACCAACCTTGGCTCTTTTCCTGCTGGACTTCTGTATTATTTTCCCTTCAGCTATTTACTTTCACTCTTTAACTTCTTGACGCCTTACAAATTTTCTCTCCTCTCCGCCACCTTAAGTAGTTTTCTGAACAGGAGAAAGTACTTGGTCTTGTTTCTTACCTCCCCTATCCAGCGGTGACACTTTCTTGCTTTTAAATACAGGAGATGATCGCAGGCAAGGAGTAACAAATGGTAGCAAAATTATTTTCTTTCTTATTATTTCCTCTTCACGCCTGGCACGTTTGCTTCTGCTGGCTTGTGACATTTCCCCTCTGTCGTTTGTGGAAACCTCCTTGCTGTACTAAAAACTGCAGCACAGATAAGACTGCGCAGTGCCTGTGTTTTGGCTCTCGGAGCTCAGCAGTCACAATATTCTTTTCTTCACGCTCGACGTGCATCACCCTGCTGTGCCGCCTGGTTGTGGTCACCTGCCACCTAAAGGCACCCACGCCCAACCACCCACCTGTAGTTGCTTTCTAGTCACTATAGGCATTAGCCCCCTGCCGACACAGGCGGAATTCCCGGGGCTAAAGAGCTTACACGAGACAGGCTGTTATCTCCAGCCAAAGCGCCCCTGCTTGCAGGCTCGGAACGACCACACAGCTGACCACGTTTGAGGGGAATGCTCCCGTGCACGCGGCTGCTGCCAGGAGCTGTCCTAAGCAGCCTCGATAGCCAGCCACCCTCTTCGGCTTGTGCACCTGCCTGACCAGCCAGCCAGCGCTTGCGAGGGCGGTGGGAGAGAACGTTCCCCGGATCCGCCTCCCCTCTGAAGTCACCAGCTCCCGGCTGCAGGGGGAGCATGTGGAGGCCAGGGCCCTGCTTAAGCTGGAGGGAGGGGGAAGACAAGGCAGAGCAGGAGCTGAGCGAGAGCGCGGAGCGAGCGGCGGGCGGAAGGGAGCTGGATACCCTGGACAGCGCATCGCTCCTCTCGCCCTCCACAGCGCCCGCCCGGCCACCGCACCCCTCTCGTCCGCACCATGGTGAGTGACGGCGCCAGCCCCGCGGGGGCTGGCGAGCCGATGGGGCCCCGAAGCCTCCCGGGAAGGAGGGAGCCGGGCAGCCTCCGCAGCTCCCGGCCGCCGCCGCGCTGTGCTCGCTCCCTCCCATCGTGCGGGCAGGGAAGGAGCAGGGGGCGCACCCGGCTGCAGCCGGACTCGCTCGGGCCGCACAAGCAGCGGCTCCAATCCGCCCCGCGACCCTCGGCGCACCCACATCTGGCCCGGCCCGTGCCCGCAGCCCCTGGCCACACAGAGACCCCCCCCCCCGGCGCGCTGCTCTCCCCGCACGCCCAGCTGGCAAGCGGCCAGGAGCAAACAAGGGAACAAAAGGAAATGGCTGGTGAGTGTCTGCAGAGGGGCACGTGGGGGAATCGGGCTACACCCCCCCCCCCACCGGAGCTGGCAATGTGCAGTTCACACAACCCACGCCATGGAGCCTCTCCAGCCTGGGCAGTGCACCCCGGCTCCGAGCCCCTGTCCAGCTCCCGGCACGAGTCAGGGGCCCAGGACTTCCCCCGGGCCCCCAGCCCGGCGTTGGTCCCCTGCGATTGAAGCCTGCCCTGTGGAGAGGCGGTTAAACCCTACTGCCTTGATCCACCGCGCCACTGGCACAAAGCGACCCTAAAGCCGGCTTAGCCTTGCCGGATTGCTCCCCGGGGAGAGGATTGCGCGGGTGGGGCAGAGCTCCCGCGCCACCCTCAGCCCCTTCCTAGGGCGCCTTCAGGGAGGATGGCCAGGGGCAGGGCTGTGTGGCTGGGGTATCCCTATTGCCCAGCAACCGCATAGCTGGAGTCTGAGGGAGAGTAAAGGACATTTTAAACACCCTTTCCCTCCCCCTCCCGCTCCAAAATAAGATCCAGGATCGGATCAGATCGGCTCCAAACTGAGGAAGTTTAGATCTGAACTTGGGATCTGAGTTCATCTTAAAATGGAACCAATTAATTGGGCGAGTTAAGTTCCTGGAGCACTCAATGTCTTCATTTCATTTGTCGCTGGCTCTAACCACTCCAATATCCACATCTCTTGAAGGGTTTGAGGATTTAGGTTTCCTTATCTTCATTAGTGGATAGGGCATTAGTGGGATGGGATTCAGAAGACCTGGGTTTAATTCATGGCTCTGCAACTGGCCTATTGGGTGACCATGGACCAGTCAAGTCCCTCCCTGTGCCTCAGTTTCCCCATTGGTTAAATGAGGATAATCGACCTCTTTTTAAAACTTCCTTGAGATCTAAAACTGAAGAGTGCTGTAGAAAACTTGACATTATTGTTGTGGTTATTTATATAGTGTGACTCTCTCCAATGAAGTGCCACAGAACATTTTGAGATTGTATTTAAACTAGTTTGGATTGAACCTAGAATGCAAACTTGGTTTTGTAGTTTACCTGAGCAGAAAATGAAAGGCCAGTAAATGTGCCTCACGAATATCTCAGGGAGTGAATTCAGAAAGAGAAACAAAATGAGAAGGAAGACTCAGGCCACGTCTACAATACAAAGTTATATTGACCTATCTTACACCAGCATACAGCCACAGCAGTTCTTAAATTGTTTGTGTCAGTGGTGCGTGTCCTTACCCGGAGTGCTTGTATCGATTGTATTGTCAGTGTGGTGCATAGTGGGATGGGTTGTGAAAGTCAGTAAATCAATGTAAGCAATGCAGTGTCCACACTGTCGTGTCAACCTAATTACATCGACCTTGACTCTGTGCTGCTCAGGGAGGTGGTATTACTAGATGGGCATAGTGAGGCACTTATGTCAGCAGGAGCCAAATTTAAGTGAAGACATTTCCACAGCTAGCTTGAGGCAAGACAGCTTATGTTGACCTAACCATGTAATGTAGACCAGGCCTTAGTCACAACGCCAGTACATGGTGGTGGGTTTGCATTTAGTTAAAGCCTCAGACCTGCCCAAATAGAAAGTCATTAGTTAACTTATGGGAGGAAGTCTTCTACCTCAGTGACATTTGACATTAACTTTTTCACCTGTGACAGCTGTAAGTCATAGATTGACAGGAGGGAAAGATCAGCTTACCAAAAGTAATCTAACAATGTTCCTGAATTTTATGAAAATGAAAGAGTCAGTATTTTGGACCTGCTCTACCTTTGACTGAGAGTCTGTCAAGTGTGTATTAGTGTTAGAGATTCTATTGTTTGAATATTGCAACCAATTTACTGCCACAGTCCTTTATGGAAAAAAAAGTGATTGGTTTTATACATAAAGAAAGGTTAACATAATGCATAGCTTCAATTCCAGTTATATGGATTTCACAGGGTTCACTCTAAAGAAACACAGCAATATAAAAACCTATTAATCTGATTTTACAAAGTTCTTAAACCGAAAACCTCAGTTTCTACTAATTCCATCTTGAAATTGAGTCCTTTATTCTGCATCTTCTTTATTTCCAAGTATTCAGGCTAATGCGCACACATTATTGATTATTCATGAAGGTATGTTAATACACATTTCTGCATTAATCTTGCATAAATACGGGTTTTAGGGGAACAATTTTTTCATGACTATAAACAGAATAATTTTAACACTCACTTTTGGGGTGCAAGAGTGTGAGAACTACAAAGTGAAGCAATTCTTGCACCCACACTGCAACTCCGAGGATATTCTTATAAAATATTACTATTTTGTATGCATAGAGTATATTCTTCAGAGGAATCCAAAGCACTTTAATAACAGTAATGAATTCAGCCCCACAGTAGCCCTGTGAGTTAGGGCACTATGACCCATTTTACAGATGAGGAGAGTGAGCGACAGGGAAGTTCAGTAACTTGGCAAAGGTTCTATCATAAATTTGTGGCATGGTTCAGAACAGATCATGGTCATGTGGGTTATCAACAAGACTGTTCGTCCTCTTCAGTGGTATGCATGTTATCTGATGAAAAGCCATCTGCATAAAAATAGTTTGAAAGCAGGTGTTTCAGCCATATGTGAGGTCCAGAAAGACAGCCACCACTTTTGAAAATGTCTAGGCCCTTGAAATGAGCAAGTTAAAGAAGAACTAACTTGGTTCTCCCCTCAAAGGGTCCATATATCTACATGTTGTCTCTCTAAAAATGGGGCTGAAGTTATCCTTTGTGAGTCTTGTTTAAGTTGACCACTTAAGGGCCTGATTGTACCTGACTCAGACCTAGGAAGGTAGGAGGGAAACACATGCTACGTTCACTAAATGGGTGATAGAGACAGTGCTTTAGTGTAGTGTATACTGCTTGCTGGAGGAATTCCGACTGCAGCACTCACAATAGTGAAGAGCATGGCTTAAAAGTCACACTCCTGCCACAAATGATTAACCCTTTTCCAAGAAAGCTTTTTAAAAAGGTATTAGGTCTGATCTTGCTCCCAGCGAAGTCAATGGGAATTTTGTCATTGTTTTTAACAATTGGCATCAGATCCAACATCAGCTATATTTTAGACACAGATGCATATGCTGCATTCAAAAAGTGGGCCTGATTCACCATACCATTACTCCAGTTTTGCTGGAATAAATGTTGAAATCAGCTCCAGTAGAGTAGCATTATGCCCATATATTGGCACATGAAAATGATTATGTACATGGGTGGATACATTTTGCAATGGCACCCATGTATAATGAACTCCATACTTGTAGAGTATATACACATTATGTTATTGATTCTAAGTTCCTGTAGTTGTGCAGAACAAAATTAAGCCAATTCCATATCTCAGTAATACATTACTTAGACTACAGTGATGATGATTACAAGTGAGCCTTGTGTCCCAAAGAATACTGTGCAGCATGTTTTGATGAAAGTATGGAGGTAATGATGTACAATACAATTAAAAGCCAGGTGTGCAGAACGGGTGAATCAGGTCACAGAACTCCCACTGAGATTTTCTTGGTAATCAAAATTAATTAAACAGAGCAGTTTGAACCTGTCAAAATGCTTCATTTTTTTTTCCTCATTGGAGAGCTGATTTCAGGCCAGTCACATTGATATAAGTTTAGAGTAACTCCATTTACATCAGTGCAGTTACTCTGGATTTCCATTAATCTATCGGAGACTGATCCTGAAACTCTTTTCTGGTTCATACAGTGGTTAAATTAACCTCTGAGTAAAAATGAATAGGTCTTTGGATGTCTGTCATCAATATACAGAAGGCCAAGCTCTGAGTCACATGTGGGTTTGGTATGTTTCTGTAAGCAAATTTTATCTATTCTTCTGCATCTGTATTGATCTGTAAGGAGGTGTTCCATTTTCATTTCTTGTCACAGAGCTACTTGCATTGCAAAAAGACTCGGCCTCATGATAATGACAGGGAAAAAACTCAAAGTAATATGAAAATACACTTCTGGGTTTGTACCAAGATGTGGGTACATGCAAAATGTAATAAAAATAATTTACTGTGGTTTGCTTTTTCATCAAGAGTGAGAAAAAAATAATTTTAATGGAAGCATGGTCAGGGCAGAAATCTTGCCCGAGTAAAAATTCCCATTGGACCAAATTTATTTCTGAAGTAAAAGATTTATCCCTGGTATAATTTCGGACTCAGTAACTTCAATGGGATTTTTGCCAGAGAAAAGACTTCAACTGTCATTTGCCATTGACTTCAATGGGAAAAAAACCCCTAGGATCTTCCTGAGAAGGTCATCATGTTGGCTAAAATATAACTAGAACTGTTGAGCCATATTTTGGTGGTGATGCTGTCTTCAAGACTTCAGATGAGTCAGGGATATAGTGACAATGCTGTAATAGGGAACAGGTGCCTTAAGACAAGCATGGTAACTCAAATGATAATGACTCAAAGCTAAATGTGCTACCCAAGCTAATAAAAAAATCAGTTGAGAATCTGGATTATTGCCCAGAGAGTAGTGAGCACTGAAACACTGTTAGTCTGTCTTTTTACACCGGTGTAATCACTTGTACAGGGCCCAGCAATTTTATTAGGTGTCCTACTTAGGAAGAAACTTGCAGCCATGGAGCACACATCTGCTCTCACTTGAGTCCAGTGTCATTGAC